GGCCACTGGGGCCTTCGGTGGAGCTCCCTGTGGGGCCACGAAGTGCTGTACTGGGTAGGCCAAAGTGAGCATGCGGGTGGCGTGGGGGAGCATGCGGACGCGGCCACTGGGGCCTTCGGTGGAGCTCCCTGTGGGGCCACGAAGTGCCGTACTGGGTAGGCCAAAGTGAGCATGCGGTGGGCGGGGCGGAACATACTGATGATGATGAGAGGGAGGAAGGGGGAGGGGGCAGCGGGAGGAGGAGGGAACGCGGGGCGATGTCTCTTCAAAACGAGGACCCAACAACACAGGTTGGTTGGGAATAAAGACGTGTATGATTAAAGACGGTCTCTCTGTAGTTTCGAAAGAAGAGCATCAGGTGCATTTGGAAAAACTAAAAGGTAATGCCCCTCGCGTGAGAGAATCAAGCGAGGTCCCCCATTTCCCCCATCCGGCCTGAAACTCTCGTGTGAGATCCCAAGCTTCCCTTATCTCGCTTTTCAATGTTTTACATGCGCACATGACACGGGTCGCCAGATTCTCCAAGCGCGTGGAGCATGAAACTATTTCTTGCGGAGGACCAGTAACTTCCCTGATGCTGCCGCTTCAGTTTTATCATTCTGGGTCATGGCCCAAAACCAATCGTGGTCTAATATCTTTGGACGATCTGCGCCAAACAGTTTGAGAGATGACTCTTCGCAAAAACTGAACTGCGCATCTTCAATGAATAACAACCCCCCTCGGCTGAGTTTCTCAAGGTTCCCCAAAGCCTGATAATGGACATTACCCTTCATGGAATACACGATAATATCAATGTCACAACCATCATCGAATGATTGCGTCAAAGTAGCAGAAAGCAATGCTCCTCGCCAAACATCAAATTGGTTTGGCAGCATTGCGATGACCCTTCGAGCATTCAACCCGGGTAACAAGATATTGTAAACAGAATGATAGTTTCCTGGAAGCTGTTCGAATGGTGAGCTCAGGTTTGACGCTCCTTTGGAAATGACGAGCATGTTGCTCTCAGTATTTCCTTCATGCATCGTTGCGTAGAACATGGAATAGCCTTGATCCTTGATGTATTGCAACTCCGGCGATGTATAATTTACACTATCCGGAATGACACCCAAACCATCGCCAGCATCACGTGCGACAGATGTTCCAAACACAAACGGGTTGTAAAGTTCCATGTTGCAGAAATGGTGGCCAAATTCACGTTTCCCTTACTTCCAAAGTAAATCCTCGACATACAAACCACCCTGCCTCACTTTGCCAAAGAGTGCATGCAACGTCTTGCCCTGCAACACTGGGTCATGGGCGCCATCATCAATTATTATATCCACTGTGCGCTTACCAGTGGCTTGGATGAGCTCATTTTCAATCCTTTGGCCTGATGGTACATCAGTCGTGTCTATGCCTGTTAAAGTGATGATTCGGCTTTCTCCTTCAATGTTTGCTTTCGGGTCGATGTCCAAACCAAATATCAAAGACTTGGGCAACAAATCGCGCCACGAAAGCAAGCTTGCACCAGGTGGATAACCCATAATTGCCTGCGTGCCGATGCCGATCTCCACCATCGACTCGACATGGCGGGATGGGGTTGTCAACAGGGAATACAACTTGTAATACTGGTGCTTCTTATGACCTTTGTCGCTACCATGATAATCCAGCAACTGCCCCAGCCGAAAGTCATCATATAACGCCCCAGGAAGACAGTTCCTGGGGTCGGGCACACGCGCGGACAAGGCACTCTCTCCTGTTGCACCCGCTTGTTGTAGCTTCAAGGCCAATGATGGAATCTGGAACTGCACGAACCCAAGGATGAAGAAACAAATGCGCATCCTTGTAGAATTGTAATTTGTGAAGCCAAGGCTTTCAATGATGGCCAGAAGCCGTGGTGAGCCAAGTTGAAGCAAAATTGCTTGAGCTAAAATGGCTACGCCATCCCCTGTTCAGTGTTTTGTAATGCTCTGCTGTCCCTTGCAATCCTTTGCAATTCTGCTCCACCACTCCTATGAATCCTGCCATCCTTTTTCGCTCCTCACTGGAACCCTGCCATCGCGGATTTGCAAGTACTAGAGATGCAATATTGCGTCTCAAAGTCTCCATATGGAAATGTCATTCTACTTCGAATCCCATCTTTCAATACCCTTTCAATATCCTCCCACTCCCTTCCCAATACTTTATCAAATGTCTTCTTAATTCCCTGACAGCGGTACGATATAGGATTCTAATGAATGTTTGTTTCCTAACCCAGGCTTATGGCTGGGTCCTCATTCTGAATAGCACTGCGACCCGCGCCATTCCTTCCTTCCTTCCTTCCTTCCTTCCGAATCAAACGCGTCAAACTCATGAGCCGTTAAACCGTTAAACCGTTAAACCGTTAAACCGTTAAACCGTTAAACCGTTAAACCGTTAAGCCGTTAAACCGTTAAACCGTTAAACCGTTAAACCGTTAAACCGTTAACCGTTAAACCGTTAAACCGTTAAACCGTTAAACCGTTAAACGTTAAACCGTTAAGACGGTTTCGCCCAGGAGGCTGCCCCGGCTGCGGGCGCAGGAGAAGGAGGTGGACGAGGGAAGGCGGAGGAGGAGGAGGAGGCGGAGGAGGATGAGGGAGGATGGAAAAGAAAGAGATTGGAGGAGGAGCAGGCGCAGGAGGAGGAGGCGGAGAAGGAGAAGGAGAAGGAGAAGGTGGGAGGAGGAGGAGAAGGCCGATTGGATATGCAGGCTTTGCATAGAGCATGCAGGTGAGTGTACGCGCCCTTGGATCGTCAGAGGAGGTGCGCGTGCTCTTAGCTTCAGGAGTAGCGGCATAAGCCTCCAACGCCGCAGCGTCGATGCGGTACGTCAGGTCCTGCAGCACCACGCGGCGACCCTTTGCGGTCAGCATCACGCTGTCGTCGGTGCTGCTTACCGCCTCTGTGGTTGCGACGGATGCAGGTTGGGAAGCACTGCTCGCCAGCGGCTGCTGAGTGCCCGCTGCTTCGCCCACGACGGCGTCGATCTTCCGCTTAGCCCCCTGATTTCTTCGCCCGCCCCGTGCTGCTCGTACTGGGAGCAGCTGCCTGGGTCGGGACTGCCCAGCAGCTTAGCAGGTCCGCTGGCCTTGGCCTCGGTGTCGAAGTGGCAAGAGCAGTGACGACACGCTTCAGCCGGAAGGCGTACTCATCCGTCGCATCGTGAAGGTGCGCATATTTGTATTCCGTGAAGATCGCCGTGGGCGCAGGCATGCGGTCGCCAAGGCGCCCCTGGAAGAACGTGTACTTGCACTGCTCATGATAGCTGGGTTTGTCCCAATCGATCTCAAGGTCGTCCGCGCTGAGACGTATCTCCTCATAGAGTTCCCTGCTCGCACAGGCCCGTGCCGTTTCGCCGCGCTCGCGCTTCCCACCAGGCTCTGACCACTCCCGCTTGGCGACGCTCCGCCCCACAAGAATCCTCCTATCATTGGTCCAGAGGACGATGCCTGCGGCCTTGCAGCCCGCGTGGTCCTCGCTGTCTTGCGCCGCGCCACTCTGCAGCATGTCTGAAGAGCCCTCGATGCGCTGGTCCTCTGCGGGTCGTTCCGTTTCGGATTCCGTTGGCATTGTTATCGTTTGGGTGATTTCTTGTTTGACAGGATGAGTCTTGCCAGGCTATGAACGCAGAGGCACACCTGAGTAGCGCCATGGGGCTACCTCCTGGGGTCGGCGCAGGGCGATGTGCTCTAGTGCATCACAAGAATGCGCTGTGTGGGTTAGCAGCTACATATTGCGATAGGATGATACCGTCGAGCGCCACCGGGAACTTAAGGAGAAAGGCGCTCACCATTCGCCGCGACGGGCGATCAGAGTGGGCTGAGCGGCTTTCTTCCCTTTCGGAGGTTTTTGCGAGCCGCCCCTCTAGGTCGGCGGCCAGCGCGGTAATCTTTAGATCTGATGAAGTTAAAAGAAAAAGAGGAGAAAGGAGAGAAAGCCGCTAACGGGCTTATAATGGAGTCTGGGCGGGTGTTGTAATCAACATCATCAGAAAAACCCCGGAGAAAGCCGCTCGCTGGACAGGCGACTCTGCGGTGCGACGGGCGATCAGAGCAGGCTGAGCGGCTTTCTCCCCTTTCTCAAATTTCTTGAGCATCCCCTCTCTAGGTCGGTGGCCAGCACGGTAACCTCTAGATCAGAGCAAATTGAAAGAAAAAGAAGAGAAAGGAGAAAAAGCCGCTAACGGGCTCACAGTGGAGTCTGGGCGGGCATTGTAATCAACATCATCAGAAAACCCGGAGAAAGCCGCTCGCTGGACAGGCGACTCTGCGGTGCGACGGGCGATCAGAGCAGGCTGAGCGGCTTTCTCCCCTTTCTCAAGTTCCTTGGTCATCCCCCTCTCTAGGTCGGCGGCGCGACGGGCAACTACAGTGGACCGAGCGGCTTTCTCCCCTTTCTCAAGTTTCTTGATCATCCCCTCTCTAGGTCGGTGGCCAGCACGGTAACCTCTAGATCTGAGCGAGTTAAAAGAAAAAAGAGGAGAAAGGAGAGAAAGCCGCCAACGGGCTTATAGTGGAGTCTGGGCGGGCATTGCAATCAACATCATCAGAAAACCCGGAGAAAGCCGCTCGCTGGACAGGCGACTCTGCGGTGCGACGGGCGATCAGAGCAGGCTGAGCGGCTTTCCCCCCTTTTCTCAAGTTCCTTGGTCATCCCCGCTCTCTAATTCGGCGGCGCGACGGGCAACTACAGTGGACCGAGCGGCTTTCTCCCCTTTCTCAAGTTTCTTGATCCATCCCCCTCTCTACGTCGGTGGCCAGCACGGTAACCTCTAGATCTGAGCAAGTTTTTAAAAAAGAGGAGAAAAGAGAGAAAGCCGCTAACGGGCTTATAATGGAGTCTGGGCGGGCATTGTAATCAACATCATCAGAACAACCCGGAGAAAGCCGCTCGTCCAGATGGAGGGAGGTGCATTCGCTAGCCGCGCGTGCAACTTGTGTCAAATAGAAAAGCCTAGACCACGGTACCGTCAATTGCATAACTCGATCCGCGCGCGAGTCATGGCAGTGGCGAAGGTAGTTTCCCTCGTTCGCAGCGATAAGCCCGGCGCCCTTGCCCTCGTCGGCCCCACAGGCTGTGGCAAACGCCACGCGATCGCAGAGGCAGCGCGCCAGGCGGGCGTGGCCGTCACTCACCACGACCTCGCGCAAGGCGCCATACAGTGGGGCAGGCTCGGTAGTCAGCAGCTGATTTCGACGGGCCTCGTGCGCAGCGTCTACGTAATCTCGAACGCATCCGAGCACTTCTTGAAGGGTTTCGCGTTCGTAAAGAGAACGCGCGCGAAAATCATTCTGGTGGCAGACGACGCTGGCCCGAGCATGAGAGCTAGCGGCGTGGCCGTCGCGCGAACGCAGCCGATGTCGGCCGACGCGATGGCGAAGCAGCTGTTCCATGAGGATGGCTGGGACGCCGAGGCGGCTCTGCGGAGCGCGCAGGTGGCGCAAGGGGACTGGCGCAAGCTCCGCAGCACCGCCGAGATCTTCCGCCACGGCAACGAACTCACAGCGGACACGGACCTCGTCGAGAGCTCGCGCAAGGACGCCGCGACGTCGGCCCTCCACCCGTCCCTCGCGGCAAATCAGCTGCTCAACGGAACGGCGGACCCCGGCTGGGCCCTGGACCCCATGGTCTTCGCTTGGACAGAGAGAAACCTCGGCCTTCATTGCGACTCCATCGAAGAGATGGCGCGCAAACAGGGGCTCGCAGCGCTGGCCGACGTAATGCAAACCGACGCCATCAAGTGCCAGGAGCCCTGCCACGCGGGGCCGGAGCTCTTCGCGCTTGGCGCGCGCAACCCGTCGAAATGCGTGCAGCACACTTTCGGCCTGCACGCAAACCCGCGGCAAAAAGACGAAAAGTCGGCGGCCCTGCTCGAGGCGAGCTATAACCGGCGGCGGCCGACGGCTTTTAGGTTCAAGCAGGCCGCTCTGGCCCAAGAGCGCGAGGAAGCGGCTGGCTGCGCGCAGGTGGCACCTCCCGGCGCCAAGCGCCCGCGCAGGGCCGCCACGGCTAAGGCGGCAACCTCTGCCGGCAAGAAGGCGGCTGGGCCGCGAGCTCGATGATTCCTCGGCGTATAAATGGCAACGGTTGCGGCGCGCAACAAGGCGAATGAGCTGGTGGCCGAGGTCACCGCCCGGAGCTTCGGGGCCTTCAAGCGGCAGCAGCCCGGAAAGGTCGCCCTGTTGCTCCCCATCGGGGACGACGGAGAAGTGGTACTCGACACGTGCAAGAGGGTCGAACTGCTGCCGGGCGGCCGCTACGAGGCGCGCCTCTTGAGTAGGGTGCGAATCCCGTCCGAGGTCGCCAACGAGCTGCGCGGCTGCGACGCGCGGAAAGAGGCACGACGCCGCGCGGCACCTCCAAAGATTGTTTCTCACGCAACCGCGCCGCACACGGCCTATTTTATCCAGTCATCTGTGCACCTGCGGGCCGCGCTGCCGTTCGGAGGTCCGAGCGAGCGGCCCGCCGATCCCGCGCTACAGCCGCCCGGCCCTCCCTCGCTCGACCGAATCCCCCACGAGCTGCGCGGCGAGGTCCTCGCCCTGCCGGACGAAGCACTTCCGACACCGGCTCTTGTGGATCACGCGCGTGCAGACCTTCACGCTCGACACCGCGAGCCCGAACGACCAGCCGCAGCTGGTTTTGCGTCAGCGACGGGGCTGCGTGAAAGCGTCCGCGGCGAGCTTGTGGATAGTGCCTCCCGCACGGAGGTTCACGACGAAGAGCGCGGCCATGGCGCGCCCAACTCTGCCCTCGCGACCCCCCCCCGATGCGCGCGCGAAGCTCGAGCCCGGATCGGCGCGCGCGCGCTCCTCCCGCAGACGCCGCCCGCGGGTGTAGCACAGCCGCCGCGCGCCGAGCGGGCTTTTCTCAATCGTGCACGATCACGAAGCTCCCGGGCCGGATGCCGTACTCACTCAGCGGCCCGCCCCTCAGCGCACGGCCGAGATGCACGAGGCGTCCTTGCGTGTCCAGCGCGCGCCGGAGATCTTCGACCGTCTGCGTCGGGCTGCGCGGGAGAGGCAGCGCAAGAAAGGTGCTGTTGTTGAACACGCAGTAGGCTTTGCACTCCGCAAGGCACGTTATGTGGTTCGCGACTGCCATCAGCTCCCGCATACACGGCTCCGCGAGGCTGTTATCTGAGATCCATATTTGCACCTCGTCTCCCTCGCCGCGCCGGATGATCCCGCGCTGCTGCAGCGCGCACATCGACAAGATGTCCACGCTTGTCTTGTGCGCCAGTTCATCTCAGAGGTACGGCGCCAGCGTCGCACGTAGCCTCGGCTTGGCGCGCCGCCGTGCGTGCCGGGCGGCGCGACGCATGGCGGCGGCGACCGCGTTCACGGCAGAGCGCATGGAGACGCGCCTCGACCACAGGCGCCACCGTTCGTCGACCGCTCGGTATCGAGCCTCGAGCATGGCCGCTTCTTCGTCTCTCCTCTTGTCCCGCCTTACCTTGCGACGGCGATTCGCTGTCCTGCATATCGCTCCACCTTCTCCTTCGCTGCCTCCGAGTCTACGCCCGCCTCCGCCGCGGCATATTCCTACCCCCCCATTGGGCAGTTGCGATCCCAGCGTCGAGGTAGGCTTCGGGGGGCGCGCTGTTGCTCCGACGGTGCTCGGTTTTAAAAATGGACGAATGTGTCTGACGGGGGCATCGCCGGATCTTGAACACCTAGGAAACAGTTGGCCATGGCGAGAGATAGCCGGCGAGATCAAGAGACATGCGCGCGCATCGTGACAAGCGGAATTGCAGGCTAGCGACGAACGTCGCTTGTCCATGCTCTCCCCCAGGGAACGGCAACGAGCCCAGCATCACGGGTACGGACGCGCGGGATGAGTTTCCGCTTTAGCGAGATCAAGCTGCGCGGCCTCGAGAGCACGGCGCTCAAGCGTTGAAGATTTGCTGGATCATCGCGATGTCCTGCGCAGAAATCGAGCATCTCTGGCCCGCGGCGTCGACAAGCCTCGCGCACCTAAGGCAGCACGCGAGGTGGCCACACGGGACAATGACACAGTCGATGTTCTTGTCCATGCAGACCTTGCACGCGCCTACATCAGCTTCGCGCCGCCTCCTTGGATGATTTTTTTTTGTACGTGCTGGCAGGCCTCGCCGCCGCGCCCGTCGATGGCGCACACAACGACGCTCCACAAGACGGGGCCCACATCTCCCAGCGATGTCGCCCAAGTCGCCATATTCTGGATCGTCGCGGGGCGCTTCGTTGAAGAAGCGGTTCTTGGGGTTGCCCGCAGGTGCGGAGCTTGAGCTGCGAGGGCGCGCGCGTCCAACTGGGTCAGCCACGGCCCCCATGCGTGCTCCAACCGCCGCACTCACAGCGACGCCCGCTGCCTCTCGGAGACCAGATTCCCCAGAAAAGTAAATACCGTCAGATCGGTAATCGTATTGTCGCCGGGCCGTCGGTGCCGTAATGTCCCACATCGCTGGCAACTGCACCATTGCGTTCGGCCAAGCTCAGGGAGTCTGCGCCTGCTCATGTCGTTATGAGCAGGGCGTGTCGGGGCCAGGACCTCAATGGCACGTCAAACATGTCTAGTTAGCCTCCCTGGCGAAACCACATCTGGGCCCATGGCCCAATTTAGCAAGCGCCGGGCGCTGGTCCTCCATGTGGTGTGGCCGCGATGCTCCAATGTATAAGTTCGCGGTTGTTGCCCCAAGAAACAGCGCGCAGAAGCTATTAAAGGTATTTCGTCCACTTGGTGATTTCTTGTCAAAGGGCGATGTCGGAGCTTTTGCTCCTCCTGGGCCAGCGCACTCGGGTGCAGCTGCTCCAAGAGCAGACAAGGCTGCGAGCAGCACGGGATTACAGCGAGGTCATTCACAAGAGCGCTCAAGCGCTCGGACTCGTGGCGGACGACCGGGATGCCTACGCCTACTACCGCGTCGGAGAGGAGCTCGATCTGGATTGGGATTTCAGCGACCCGGAGAAGACGTGCGACTTGGCCCGGTGGCTCGACCACATTGCTTGCGCCCTTCGCAGCCGGCCGCGCCAACTGTTCAGCAGCGCCGCACTTTCGCGTGCGAGCAAAGCCTTTGCAGAGCAGGCCGGAGCAAACAAGGAGCTCGAGACAATCGTGCTGTGGCTCCGCGCTGTTTGGGGCTCTCTCCAGCACCACGAAGACAATTTGCGCAACTGCGCTGATTTGCTCGATGCCGCCGGGGCAGTAGTCGATTACCAGCTACTCTTTGGTGTGTCCATGGAGGTTGCGGCGGTCTGCGGCGACGGCTCTGCGTTTCAATCGCTCGCGTCCAGGCTGGGCGAGCTCGCTGACGCCGTTGCCGATGCAAGCGTGCCTCGAGAGCCTTAGTTAACACCGCCGCCAACCTCCCCGCCGTTTGGGCAGGCTTCCGCGGAGCAGGAGACCGCGTAGGCAGGGCTTTCCTTCAGTGCAAGCTTTGTGGCTCGGCGCCAAACAAGGATCGGCTATGCGCCCCGAGCAGGCGCTCCAGTCGCCACGCACCTGCCTCGCCCACGGGGCTGCGGCGACCGCTCCCAGCGGCACAGGGCGTCCGCCTCACACCTCGGCTCCACGCCCTTGTGCCGAAGGTGGCAGGGCCAACGCACGGGCGTTAGTTGCGCGCGCCGCTGGCGGCGCGTGGGCTCGTGGAGGGGCGGAGGCGCAGCATGTGGCGCCGTGTGCGGATCTCCCGCGCGCCTCTCCCGAGGCCCTGCCTTGATCTGCGCCGCGTCAAAGAAGTGCCCGGCGAGGTTGGGGCTCAGCGAGAGCTGGAGGCGGCGCATGGCCGCTAACGTGTCCGCCTTGGCCCACGGTTGCAACCATTCCTCCCTCGCCACGACGTGCTGATGGAGCTCGTGCTTCAGCAGGGCCTCCGCGAGCTGGAACGCGCGGCGCTTGTGGAAGTGCGCGTCGTTCGGCCGGTTCATCCGGGCCACGGCCAGGATGTCAACGCCGGCAGGGTAGCTGTATTCCCAGTTGGCGAGACGGCGCAGCAGGTTAAACGAGCATCCTATTTTGATGGGGGAGCCGCGCAACCCGCGCGGCTGGATCGCGTAGAGGCCGCCCTTGTCGCAGCCCGGCCGGGCCGCGCAGAAGCGGACAAATTCAAGGAAGGACGCCATGCCTTTTTGTTTACTCCCTATTCGTCTGCGCCGATCTCGCCCAGGACCTTCCGGAACGTGGGTGGGATTGCATCCTCGCCAAGCGCTGCGAGCGCTGACTGGGAGCTTGGTCGGCTGTCCGGGCTCGAGTCGAGCCGCGTGGAAGCCACGGAACCACCTCTGTCTGGCGAGGGGCTCGAGCGGCGCGTCACGGCGCGCCGCGCAAGGCGGTGGATGTCTGAGGCGGTGAGGCTGCTTTCGTGCCGCGCCGAACGGGCCATGCTCCGGGCCACATCGTGCGCAGCACTAGCCTCGAACTGACATTCCCTTGGCATGAGCCCTTGAGCTCGGAGTGAGCTGAGCAGCGACCTCCAGGCGCTGGGCGCTTTACCAGGCTCCAGGCGAGCGACGTACATAATGAGGACAGGAGCTCGCTGTCGCCGCACGAAGCGTGAAAGATTGCTGGTCATCCCCACCCGCAAGCGGAGTCCATCTTCAACTGCGTAGATGCCGGGCCCGTCGCAAGCTGGGCAGGCCAACTCAAATTCGCGGGGCGTCGCCATTGAAGACGCACTCTTTCTATTTTATGTGAGAACAAACCTGCACATCGCTCCTCCTTCGGTCGAGTCTTCCGCACCTGCTGCTCCCAGAGGCTGACAGCACGTGCTCAATGCCTGGCGTTAGCTGACAGTCGTCGCCGCGCGCGTCCGCGCCGACGGGGTCACGGAGCACAGCTGGTGCGAGCGCTTGCGTCCCGACTTCTGCTGACATCGCGACCGACGGCGAGTGGGGGCTGCCAAGGCTCCTTGTGGTGGGCACGCAGACACGGCCGTGGATCCAAAGAGCACACCGGTGCGCGCCTAGGAGTGCGGCAGTGTAATTTATGGAATGCGCGCGCAGTGGTCCAAGCCATGCTGCGCAACATGCGCGCGCGCCCACACATACGCATGCGTGGCGCATGCGAAAGGGCAAGCCCTAAAATTAGAGGAGCAGTGCGCGCAAGCAGCTAGGCAGAGGAGAGCAGCAGTAGTGAGAAACAGGTGGAGGAGTGCACGCAAAGGACGGAGGAGTCCATAGACCAGCCACAGAGGCTCGGCACCAACTACAGATAAGCAGGGCCATTTTCAAGCGCACGACCTGCGATCCTCATGGGTTGCAAATCCTAGCCTGCATCTTCCACACGCGGCGCACGCCCCGCACTATGGCAGGACAAAGCGCGCACCCTGTATTTATGCACCGGCACGCCCCTGAGGCCCCTTTGCTCACGACTGCTCCCTGTTGCGCAAGGCCACCTCCAAGGCATCTCCTGAGCAAGTGGCGAACCTCTCCGTCTCCTTCTCCACAAGGCCTATCTGCCCTCCATCCGAAATGCGGGATTTTGTGTGCCGCACCGGTGATGTAACTGATGGCAGAGGCAGACATCACTCCATAGTCTCGAGTGCCTCCCTTTGCCTTGGCGACCTAGGCATCGTTACCCATGGCATGGGGCAGCACTGGAAAAGAATGGGCTTCCCCTGCAGCCGGGAAACTTAGCGGCCGCCTCCTCGCAGAAAGTCCAATTGGGCTGCGCTGGAGCATTTCCATGAACCATGACACATCGACAGGTGCAGCACGCAGCTGCTTAGCAGAGCAGACGCCCCCCTTATCAAACAACGCGCGTGCCAGAGCGAGCTTTGCAGGATTCTTTAGCGTGGCGTCCAGTGAGCAGTAACCGTGGCGATGCTGACTTGTGGCACAAAGCATGAGTCCACACAGCTTTCGGGCATGAAGGTAAAGTCAAAGCGGTTGCCAGCGCGACGGGCATTGGCAAAACAACGTAGCGACCTCATCGTTGTGCGCCCGACCCCGCGCCAGCGTGATCAAAGCAGCGGTCAACAAAGAGAGCCAACGCACTGCCGACCTCGGCTAGCATATTATCATCCCCTTGCAAACTTTTGTCAATCAGTGCCTTTGCATTGGCCATGTCGGGCGCTGCATCTGATTTGCCGCCGAGCGCAAATCCTGCCGCAGCCGCGCGGTCGAACATTGCCACGTGAAAAGCCACAACACCGGCTTGCATCGAAGCATCGCTTGGGCACTCGAACAACTCTTCACCAGTTGCGAAGACTCCACAATAGAGAAGGTGGCGCACCTGGAAAGAATGGCCGGCTGGCTTCCACGAGCTGCTTGAGCACCGCTGCAGGGCGCCGGGCGACCGCGGCAGGGCGCCGGTTGGCGCCCCAGGCTTGCCCGGAATGCGGCACGCGCTATTTGCCACGAGGCTCTTGGTGCTTGTTCCTCGACGACGTGACGAGCGTCGCTTGGCCAGACCACTTCAGCCTACACGAGCTCGTGATGCTCGGCTTCCTGACTGCGCAGCAGAAGCGCGTTCATCCTGGGGTCTGAACACGAGCGCAAACCCACGCAGCTTGCGCGACAGCGTTTCCATGCAGCTCGGGCTCGTCAACGGCTACTTCTTCGGCGTGGTCACGCAGTCAGAGCTGCTGGCGACGAGGGCGAGCGACGTCGTGGGCGGGGCCGGCGAAGACATCGAGCGGAGCCTGCGTTCTTTCGCGCACTCTGGCTCCGTAGTGCGGCTGAACTTCGCGGCGGCCGTCGCCAAAAACACAAGCAACGCTGGCGGTCTGCAGCATTATTACAGAACCAGCAAAAACAGGCTGGCGGCACACGGCTACGTCGTGTGGTCGCTCTGCGAGGAGTTCCCGTCGCTGCTGCGGATCGCGCCGGGCCCCCCCAACGGCGCCACATTCACACGGCGGTCTCGAACGAGGGAGGAAACGCAGGAGGAGACCACCGGCAGCGGCGGCGACACAGAGTCGTGCGACGACGTCGAAGAGCCGGTCTCTCCGCTGCGCACGGCGTCCTCAGAGCGACGCGAGGAGAACAGGTGCGACCTCTGCGGCACTTCGTACGCCCGTAAAGAGGATACGCTGTACCATGTCCGGCGGGTCCACGAAAATGGCGCCGAGACCGTTGCGTGCCCCCTCTGCTCCAGAGCCTTCTGGAAAAAGAAGGACATGCTCTTGCATTATCGGATGCAGCTTTGCCACTCGAAGCGAGGGAGGAGAAGCTCCCCCCAACTTGCCCTTGCACGACCGCCCTCCCTTCTTTCTCGTGCGCAGGCGGAGTAGCTTCCCCTGTGCGGAGCGCTCCATCCCGGCCTCGCCCGAGCGCGTGCCGGTTGCTTGCCCGAGCGCGGGTTGCCCGCGTGCCGTGGCTGGAATTGCGGCGGCGCCCCGGCTGGGCAGGGCTCGGGCCCGGATTCGCCGTTTAGCCGTATGTCCCCACGCGCGTGTCGTGGCCAGGCCCTGCCTGGCTGGGCCCGGATTCGCCGTTTAGCCGTGTGTCACGGGCTGCGGCCAGGCGCCCCGGCCAGGCAGGGCGCGGATTCGCCGTTTAGCCGCGTGTCCCCACACACGGGCTGTGGCCAGGCGCCTCGGCCAGGCAGGGCACAGCAGAATATGCGCATTTTCACGTGATTCGCGTGGGCAGGGTACGCCAGGGGCCTTGTAAAAGCTTCGCCCCCCCAAAAAAACCTTAGCCACCCATGTGGCCACCGTCGCGATGAAGCGCGTTAGAAAAAGTTGTTGGGTCATTTGTTTTGCAGCGGCGCACAAACAGAAGTGTGACCGATGCGGGTCAGAAACAAATGGAAAGTAAAGGCAAAGCGACAGCCCCCGCTTCTGAGTGGCGGCGCCTTGCTCTGCGAACAAAAGCGACCGCTCTCGGCGGTCCTCGCTGTGTTTCCCAGGGCGCGCCATGCCCGCCTGCGATTTACAGTGCGACCGACAGGCCGGATGCGGCCGTTTGCGCTGCTGTCGCAAGCGCATTTGCGATAGGTGCGTGACCCAAGTGCTGCAGCTGAATTATCAGCGCCAGCGTTGGCACAGCGTGTGCCCTTTCTGCCGCCATGTGGCCGCCGTCACGGAGAAGCGCGTTAAACAACTTTTGTGTGATCATGTCCCAGACCATGCGAAGGTGATCGCGAGTGACATCGGCCCAGTGGCGATCGTCCACAATCCTGGCCCAGATGGACGCTACGATTCTAGGTCTTCCATCGACATGCTCCCCACGGATCTGCCAGGCGCTGTGAATGAGCTTATGAAGGAAGTGGAAGACCTTCAAACAAAACTTGCGGAAGAACGGGCGATTATCAAACGCCTTGGGCAATCTTGGCGGGACGAGTGCAACGGGCAACTGCCTAGCTCTGGTGACATCTCCATTCTCGGATTCATACTTTCGCAATCTCCTCGTCCCGACGTCGACGGCCCACGCAACACTTAAGCGTTGAAAGGCCAGCTCTTTCGAGAAACATAATTGCAACAAAAAAAATGTTGAGCGGCGTGGGAGGGCTTTCTCTGCGTCCATCCAAGCGCACTCTTCCTGTAGCTGCGCGGTGGGGCTTACGTCTGCGGGCCCGCCACTGGGGGGCAGCTCCGCGCCTCAAGCGGCGAGGCTTTCGAGACATTATTTCACTTCCTCCCTGGTCGGTTCGCGGCCAAGGCGGCGAGCCAGTTTTAGCAAAAGCGGGGTTAGACCGACCGCATTGGCCCAATCGGTGGAATCTTCGCGGATTTTCTGAAGATTCGCTTCCGCTGTCTCGGCCCGCGCTTCCAAACCCTTCGTGCGAGGGCTGTTCTGCCAAGCGAGATGCTCCGCGCATTCCGGGTGCTCCTCCAAGCCATTGCGCCGCGCTCGCTTGAGAAGGCGCTCGTCTCTCGCTGCGTCGCGCCGCGCGCGGCCTGCGAGGTTCGCTGCTTGCGCGGCCTCGGCGGTGGCCCCCGCTCCTTCCGTTTGCACCGCGCCCTCCGTTTGCGAGCCTAAGCGCGCACGGTAAAGCCCGTAAAGCTCGTATGCGCTCAACTCGGCGCCCTCTTGCAGCGCGAGTTTTCGCTCGGCCGCTTCGCGTGCGCCTTTCTCTGCCTCCGAGCGGGCCTCGGCCGCTTCGCGCGCGCCTTTCTCTGCCTCTGCGCGGGCCTCGGCGGCTTCCGCGCGCCGGGTCATAGCTTTCAGCGCCTGCG